CCCTGGTGAGGCACGACCGAGCTCAAAGCACAACTGCCCTTCTTAATAGCAGCCGTGTGACATTTCACATCAGACGAGAACGCGCCGAGGCTTTGACCTGAGCATATTTTTCCCGGCGTCTCGATGTATCGGCGCACATGATAAATGGTTTTAACCTGCCGACATTTATGTCAGCATAAATGTTGTGTGGTTGAAAAAGGCCTTTTCCGTTTTGGCAGGTCCGCAGTGGCTGTGCGTTCATGGTTCATGTATGCCAGGATGAGCATCAGCTTTACAATGAGTTCTTCTCCATGCCCACACCCAAACTTGAGTGAGTATTGCCACCGCTCTATCCAGATTTCTTCTCACAAACTTTGTTGTGCTTTCAAATACAGCGGAATTAGAGATGAACCAGATCTGAGCTCAGGATTGGCTATTAGTATTAATTACGTCATTTTGCGCTGATCCTTATCATGCTACAAGATGACATTTTCTTTTATTTTTTATGATTATATTTTTTTCAGGATTATTCTGTCATAAAATGTCAAAATAATCCTGAGGTACAACGATATTGCCAAATGTGACAGCAATAGCTTAGTTTTTTTATACGACACATTTTAACGTTTGGAGTTTGTGTGGTGGAGTGAAAAACGGTCACCACATAATTGATGGGATCCCACAAAAATGCTCATCATCTCTTCAGGTGGCAACTTTTTAAGTCTTGTTTTACAGCACCGAATTGTTTATATATGGACCCCCCCCCCAAAAAAAAAAATAGAGACCACAGTCACTACACGTTCCTTGAAGTTAGAGCATATTATCATTTCATGTCATTTCAAGGTGGCACAGTTAAGAGAACGACATATACCAAAAGGCTAACAATTCAGCCTACTGTGACTAATAGATAGCGTAAATGCAATTTTTTTTTTTTAACCGAAATTTGAAAAGTGACAACAGTGCAATAACCGATCTTTGTGTAGAGCAACAGTGCCCAAGTCCTCAAGAGCCCCCATCAAGCCTGTTTTAGTTGTCTCATTCCTCCAACACGGCTTACCAAGCTTTATTCATGAAGTCAACTCTTTTTAGTGGTGCCTTCAGAAGGAAAAAAAATACATGAAATACCGTGACCACCGTAGAACCGGCAAGTTAAAAAAAAGTGCCACGAGTCAAATGTATTTTGGGTGAATAAGTCTTATTTTAATAGTTCAGGGTGTAATTTCAGACTCCGTCTTAGATGTTTCAATGTTTGACAGCGAGCTGCTGGAGAGGCTGTGTTTGTCTTTGTACGACGTCCTGCGCCCTCTGATCATCCACGTCATCCACCTGGAAACTCTGTCGGAGCTCTGTGGCATCCTCAAGACCGAGATGCTGGAAGACCACGTTCACCACAATGGTGAGTGGAAGCTTCTGTCCTCCCCAGAGCACCGCGAATGCCGCTCATTTGTGCTCATAAACACATAAGCCACAAGAACATTAGGAACAGCTTCACAGTGGCACAAATATTGTCTTTACCGAGGTAATAATGGAAGTGTTTTGACAAATTTTGTTATCTGCGTCAAAGACAACAAATGACACTGGTCAACACATTTTGTATTTATTTTTTAAAATCAGAGATGCAAGTAAACTTTTTTAGATGAATATATTTAGTAATATTTATGAATGAAGGATTAGGTTCAGCAACAGGTGATTTTTTTAAATTAAATTTTTTCCTCTGAAACGTCAGCAATAAATTACAATGCATCCAGCCGTCTTGTGCAAGCCTTCATATGTCCACCCTAAAAACAAAAATGAAAATATCTAAAAACCTGATGTGCTAGAAAAAGTCAAGATATTTTTTTGAGGTAGTGTTAAAAATACATTTAGGGGACACATTTAACCCAAGCCATATCTGATTATAGTTTGCTGTTACCAGTGTTATCAATGATTTTTTTAAATGAAATATTTAAATTTCTCAAATCGAATTTGGGGTATTTGTTAGCTGTACACTGTAACGATAAAAATGATAACAAATAAAATCAGAAAATTGTCTCCATTGTGAGACAAATAAACGTATTCATATCTTAAACATTTCACTTTGTGTGAAGTGAACCCATATACGGTAATGTGCAAGTTTCACTTCTTGACCTCAACCACTGAAATATATATGTATTTTATTTATTTATTTATTTTTAAATACAATATTCTAATTTTCAAAGCACCTGCATATGTGTTGTGAAACAGCCAGCCAGCTGGGAGCCTTTGATGCCGTGGTCAAGCAGATGCTGGAGGATGTGCAGGAGAGACTGGTCTACAGGACACACATTTACATCCAGACGGACATCACGGGCTACAAGCCTGCCCCAGGGGATCTGGCCTATCCCGAAAAACTGCAGATGATGGAGGTGAGGCCAGACAGGAAGCTATCACTCTGTGGTTGTAAATTGTGCTTGTAACACTCTACACTTCTAAAGTATTCAGCAGCTCATCACTCCCGTGTGTCCTTCTCATCAGAGAATCGCTCAGAGTTTGAAGGAAGAGCAGTTGAAGCAAACGTCCCAAGAGGCCGTGTTTTCCGACATTCAGCTGGAGGATTCGGATGGGAGAAGAAACAGTAACGCTGGTGTGTGTGTGTCGAGGCACTAATTCAACACTTTTTGACGTTGCAGTCGCGTGTATGACCTGTTTCCACGTTTACAGAAGGACTTGCAGGGAAACCGGAGGCGTCCCGTCTGCAGGCTTCTGTTTCTCCCGCTGATTTGCACGGCATGTGGTATCCGACGGTCAGACGGACGCTGGTCTGCCTGTCCAAGTTGTACAGATGTATAGACGTGAGTACACAATAATACTGATGACTTCGATTTCCTAGAAGGTCTGGCTATTAGAATAGAATAGTAGAATGCTCCCTTTGTTATTATATGTATCCTTGTGTTCCTGATTTACAAGGAACGCAAATGGTGGACACTAAATTGCTTGTTCACTCTAGAAGATTGCACAGTCATGTGACGGGCCTGTAAGCGCTTGATCCTCTAATATTGCGATCGAAAGATCCCAAACAGCAGGTGTGCATAGTTGGTAACAGATGTATAAGAAGTGGCGACTGAGGGGTTAATACTTTTGGTGGCACGGATTATTTTCACTCTCGGTTATTTGGAAATGCAAAATGAAGTTGGAAGTGATGGCTTTGTAAACGGCAGTGGGCGCAACATGCAAATATTGTAGAGTGACAGAATAGAACTCTTTTGCCCGATTTATATCGGGGAAACCTGAACCACATAAGATGTTTTGTTTGACAGTAGGACTATTTTCATCAACACCAAGTCCTATGATGCTGCTGTATTTTAATGTTGGTTGTTTTAGTGATACTGTACTTGGACCCCTCATTTTGAGATCATTCTTGAGATCCCCTGTGACATTGCTCAGTCCACGAATATGTTGCAATAAATGTACATTGACATGCGCATTTCAAAGGTTTGTTTCTGGCATTTCAAGAATGGTTACACGAGCAAAGAGGTTTTCCTTGCCAGCTTTTATTTTGCCTGTGCTACACTGGTTTGCAGCTGTCTTTCGGATGCAGTTTTCAAAAGATGCATAGCAATGAGTGCTCAATTAATCTATTTGCAAATGGTCTTCCCAGAAGGCTCAAATGAAGTGAGCGACGATATTTATTGCTGTTGGACAGAGGCGATCCTGGGTGTGGCCTCCACATCTGTTTGTGTGAGCAATCAAGTTTGTGCACGTGGAAGCCTTGAGTAAAGCACGCCCTTGGTGTCCACACAGAAATTCTTAACAGTGATTCCTGCAAAAGAAAATGCAAGAAATATTTGACCATGGATTCCGTGGATTCATAAAAAGTCTGCCATTAGATTTTTACAATATTAGAGCCTTGAGCCAATTCATTGCAAAAAAAAAAGTGTTTTATGCCAAGATGTCTTAAAATATTATGAAATAATACTGAGTCCCATAAACTCCGGATCAGCAAATTGGGTTTGTCTTTAGCACATCTGCCTCACAGTTGGTTTGGGGTTCATTTCTCGCTCCGGTTTCCTGTATGAAGTTTTATTGAAGACAAAATTGACCATAAGTGTGAATGTGAGTGTGAATGGTTCTTTGTCTTTAGCCTGCTTCTAACCAAAACCGATTGGTCACATTAAATGTTGGGAAATCGGTGGTCAGCCGATCCCTTCAAATACTCAACTCAACTGAACTGTATTTATCGAGTACTTTCAAGCCATCGCTGCATACAAAGTGCTGTACATGGAGAAACTATCATGTATACAACAATAAAGCAATAAAACCGATCTTTCACCAATCTCATCTCCCTCCGCAGAGGAGTGAAAAAGTCAGCCGCTGTTCTCTTCTGCTGTGAAATGACTGATAATCTTTCCTTTTTTCATTTGGAGAAGTGCTTCATGTGTGTTAAAACAACTCACTTGTATTGTTTCCCAAGTACTGCTCAATGTTTTGCAATGAAACAAGATTGGAACATTGAAGGTATATGATGTTAGTTACGAAAAAAATCGGGATCGGTAAAAATCGTTATTGGCCAGAAAATTGGGATCGTGCACCCCTAGTTGCTTCTTAATTTATATGAGAATACACCCACAGTGGAGCGAGAAAACTAAATCACACAGATAAGGCCTTTTCTTGTTTTTGTTGGGTTATTTTTTTGTTTTTTTTTTAAATCTGAAGAATCTATTAGGCATTCATAATGTTGACAATTGTACTGCTTCCCGCCTCCAGTGTCTCTCTGGGAAAACGTGAGAGTTAGGCATCTGTGGATAGGAAATCCCCTCATCTTTTGTTTTTTTCTTCCTAATTCCTATCTCCATTATATTGCCTTTTCCAGAGAGCCGTCTTCCAGGGTTTATCGCAAGAAGCCTTATCTGCCTGCATCCAGTCCCTGCTGAGTGCCTCTGATAGCATCCTCAAGAACAAGGTTTGGCACACTCGCTCGCTCAAGTGAAGTTTTGTACTTTCCCCCCCATTTTTGTATTATTATGAAAACAGCTGCAAATAGCGCCTGTCTTTTGGATGCCGTCCCCCTCCCTAATTCTATTTTGTTGGAACTTCCTGCGGCAATGGGGTACTTAACTAAAGCAGCTGGGATGTCATTTAAAGTTTATTGTAATGGCGGCGTTATTATGCTCCACAGACTGTTCAGCGAAGCGTCCTTTTATTTATGGGCCGCTCTCACCTTCAAATTTGCTGTTAATATCTACGCTGACTGGCCCGTTTCAACCTAGCATTTAGAATTAATGCGGCAACATCAATTTCGGATGACGAGTGTCCTCCCCGTGCCTCTTTTTTTCATCCCCCAATCTTTAATAACGAGCTGAGCAATAAATGGCTTCAGATGTCTCCCCCTGTCCCCCCCCTCCACAGAATCGTATCGCTTTCCAGCTCTGGTTATGCAGAAGTTATTAATTAGCCAAATGTCCTTATCATATCCGAGACTGCTTGCGCTCTCCTTGTTCTCGACCGCCTGGAAAGTCAGACGCTTTTTTTGTGTGTTTGGCAGCGTGGATATTTAGCGGCGGTGCTCTCTTTCTGTCGCCCATCTTCCGCAGACACAAATAGACGGGCAGCTTTTCCTGATCAAGCACCTGCTGATCATGCGTGAACAGATTGCTCCATTTCACACCGATTTTGCCATCAAGGAAATCTCGCTGGACCTGAAGAAAACGCGAGGTAAGATAATTAAACGTTGGTCTTCAGCTCCATAAAGCCCGTCATTACATTCCTATGCTCATTAAGCAACTCGTGCCTATCACATGCACCGGTGGCAACAATTAATTCAAAAATTACAGTGTCATCCAACACCTTAATGTACGCTAACTGCTGCCTCCCAGGGGCACGTTTGCCCCTCCCACCACCTTCATCCAAGGTCATATTTGATTGGCGCCACTAGAGGGCACTCCAATGCCGCAGCCTGATTTTTCTGGTTTCTGTGCTCTTTGTCAAGACGCTGCCTTCAAAATCCTCAACCCGAAGGCTGTTCCCAAATTCTTCCGGCTGAACAGTCACAACGCCATTCTCGAATTCCTGTTGGAGGTTTTTATTTATTCTCCCCTTTTGTCCTTTCTTTAATTCAACATGCCATTCACTGTCTGCCAAGGGAGCCCGCTCTTAAAAGCATCATTTTCTCTGCTCCGCAGGGAACCCCTGAGATAAAGGAGCACTACATCGACTCCAAGAAGGATGTGGACCGACACCTGAAGTTCAGCTGCGAGCAGTTCATTCAGCAGCAGACTCAGATCTTCACGGGGAACCTTGAGGAGTTTCTCACCAAGGTAACCGCCAGACGTGGCCTCAGGCGCAGACGGCACGTCCTGACCTTCAGCTCTCAGCTTTTAACTTTATTGCAATCCATTTGGACTGACACCTTTTCTCTCTCGACTGCAGACAAATTTCTTCCCTTCAGCTGGGATGTGTACTTGTGATGTTGCCCTATTTTCTTTCAACACAATTCTCTTCAAGTCATTTGCGGCCCACCTTTTTTTTCTCCTCCTTTTCCACCCACTCAACTCATTTCCATTGTCCTCTATTTTGTGCAAACAACACCAATTGTTCATTTGTCAAGCCAACAAAATCGTCTCTGTTTTGGAGTTAATCCATTTGACTCGGTGAAGACGATTGTGTTCTTTTGATTCTTTCCAAGGCTGTCACTAACTATTATTTACTATGAACACAGGTAGCAGAGCTGAAAAACATGGCCATCCAGGGTGGCCCCGCATACACGCTGTCGAAGCAGCCGTGGGCTCAGCCCGGTAGGTTCGGGGACTTGGGGAAAGGCCACTGTCATCTCGCTGCGGATCGTCTCAACTTGTACAGAGCACCCTCTAGGCTATGTCTGTATTCTCTTCCTTATTTTATTTTCCCGTCTCCTTTCAGCAAAGATCAACGATCTAGTGAGTGCAACCTACCGGGTGATGAAGAACAAGCTGCCGAGCACGCTGCAGAGCATGTCCTTGTACTTGGCCAACAGAGACACGGAGTTCATCCTTTTCAAGCCTGTGCGGGTGTGTGCCTCAAAACAGCAGGAGCTTCTTTTTTTTTTTTTTTTTTAACTTTGATCATCAGCCATTTAAAAGAATGTTATATTCAGAGATATAGAGTCAGCTCGAACTCATCCGTGCTGGAACATTAGCATATTTCACTTAATCACATTAGTCGCACTGCTGTAAATACTGTCGTGAAAGGAGCCGCTAATGAGTTTGGCAAAGATGGAGCATTGCTCTTCAGGTGTGTAGTTCACTGGCGGAATCATAATATGATTAATGAGACGATATTCTTATGAAATTATACATGGCCCGATGTAGCTTAGGTAACTGCGTTTAAAGGTCAGCGTGGTTGGTACACATTTCTAGTCCATTTAGAACCAGCATTTTTCACACTGTCAAAGCAACTTTTTTTTTTTTGAGGTCCAATCCATAAAAGTAACAGCCATCTGTCCCATTCATAAAATATCAATGCAACTTACTGGGTACAAGGTAGCCAAAGTGGCTGATGTTAAATCGGGACATGGGCATTGTCATCTCTCATTCATGTTTATGCAGTCTTATTATTAGAAAGTAGCTCTCTAACAGTCTTCAAACACACGCTGACCAACCCCTTGCATGATTTAATCACACCCAGCTCTTATGTTGGATATTATTTTATGATACAAGTGTTTTAAATATTGAGGCTGGTTAGTGTAGATTGTGTAATTGTTCTACAGCCAACCAAAGAACTCTTTTGAACAATATACCTCATGGGACCCAAGTAGACTGAAGTAGATCCGTCTGGTTCTTCCACCGGGCGTCGTTTGCATGTCAGCTTCCTCCCGCAATCCCAAAACATGCATGCTATCATGATTGAGGACTCTTAACTGTCCAAAGTCGTGAATATGATTTTTTTTTTCTTTATGTGCCCTGCTATTGGTTGATAACCAGTCCAGGGTGCGCCATGCCTCTGGCCCAAAAGTCAGTCGGGATAGGCCTCAGCACACCCAAAACCTTAATAAAAATAAGCAGTATGCAAAATGGAGGGGTTGCTCATTTGTGTTCAAATCAGGAGTCTTATCCCTATACTATGCTGTAGATGCACTTCTTCTAGGTTTGGTACCCGGTCGTCTTCATCTGTTTGTCTGTATGACTCTTTCAGCCCTTGTGATGTTTTTTTTTTTTCTTTACAGAATAATATCCAGCAGGTATTCCAAAGGCTCCACACTTTGCTGCAGGAGGAATACAGCGGGGAGGACCTCCAAATCATCGCATGTCCGTCAATGGAGCAGGTACACATCACTGTGAACCAAAGAGAAGCCACACCAGACATGTTTTTAATAATGCAGCTGCAACTCTCATTTGTGCTGAGAGCAGGTTGACTCGCACCCACCTTAAATAGGCTCCACAAACAAGTCTTTCTTTCTTTTCCCCAGATTAACCTGCTGCTGTCTGTGAATAAGTAATGATCAGAAGGCTTCTGCTTGTGATGTCGCAAGAATGAGCCGCGGGACTGTGAGGGGGCGACAGGAGCCGCACTCGGAGCTGATACCGCCCTATAGAGCCAAAGATCTAGTCGGCAGTGCGCTGAGCCGTGCGGCTCGAGTCAAGATCTCTCTTTTTTTCCCGTTTAAAACACGGAGGTGTAAAAGAACCGAGCCGCATGTCACTTAACAGCAAATGGGAAAGGATAAAGCGTACTTTGCACACGACGATGGTGTGGGGCCAGCGGGCTGAATATATTGGAGTGTTCAGACGAGGACTCTTTGGGTCTGTGAATAGGGGAGCTGGAGGGCTGTTGATCAGTCATTTAGCTAACGGCCAGTAAGGCAGCTCGACTTCCGATTCCCTCGATGGCCATTGGTAGTATAACAAGAAAAACGCTGCAAAACCTTTGATTTGCATATTTTAGCACAGTGCTTCCAATGTATAATAAAACTGTTCTGCCTGTGCAACCAAATGCTCAGGTTTGTGATAATAGCTATCCACACATCTTTTGTTGCAACAATGTAAAAAGGTCAAATACTATGTTTTATACTTGATTTTCTTTTATACCTAGCTCCAAACTAATACTAGCTGATGGGGGAAATAATGTATGAAGTTACAATGATGTGTACAGTTGTACTATTTATGAACCTTCTGATTAAAACTTTCTTGATCTGGTTTGACCAACGTGCTGCGAATGTGATTCTGTCGAACGTCATTTCGCTAATGAGACTGTGCCCTTTAGGGAGTCTGCTTGTCAAACAGGCTGATACATCTTTGCACCTGTGCCGTGACCTTCTGTGGACTGACTTGTCTGGAATCCGTGCAAAGGGATTGGATGCTCCGGAGCGGGACGACGATCTCTGCACGCGGCTGCGCTCCAACCCACCCCCACACCCCCCCAACTGAAACCTGTCAGGTCTTTGCAGTGTGACACATTTGATTTTGCTTACATAACATGCAATAACAGGTCAATGGTTTATCCCGCCTTTTGCATCCACAAAAATACTTAAGCGCAGTTCTAAGGTTAAGGTTTCAAATCTCTGCATGTCCTCCTCATATTTGTGTGGGTTTTCGCACACATTCCCCTCAAAAAACCAACAAGAACGAGGCATGTTTTTCGGGTCGCTGAAGACTCTCACTTGGCCACTTGGTGTGATTTGTGAGTCTGTCATTCAGCTGGGCTAGTATCCAGATGCTCCTTTGATCAGATAATGCAAAGTATTATTGACTGATTTAGACTTGCTTTGAAAGCCATTTGGATTGAACTGATGTCGTCTCATGCATTGAAGCCTTGCATAAGGGAGCATATTTGCCTCCTTTCTTGCTTCGATTTATTCTAGGAATGGGGACAATACTAATTTCATCGATGTTAAACACTCGGCGATATTAATGAACAACGTTGGCATGAAAGCAAGTGTTGTCAGGCCGACGGGTTAACCACAATTTCACCATGCCGCAGATGTTTCCCATCCTGTTAACATCATTTTGAAGAGAATCAGTGAATTTTCCACGTAGTCGGTCCGATCAAGGGAGTATGCAATTGATAATGATTGGAAGCTTGAGGTTGATCTCAAGCTTCCAATCACATTGCTCCGATGTCATCCCCTATACTGCATAACGCCACCTCTGGGCCATATTTACATCAGATCGAGGTATTGCTTTGATGTGCTTTGATGTATTAATTCAAAATTTATTTGGTTCTTTTCTTGGCATTTTCTGTGGGAATTGCAATCACTATTAGAGCGTTACTTATGTGTTCTGTCAATCACGCTCATATGAGAAGATGTTGGCCACGAATTTATATAACGTTTCCAATTTTTGAACACTGCCTCAGCAATTGTTGCCTGGGAGCTTTTCTTCCAAATTCTGGAACTAATTTGGTAGCACAAAGCCTCCCGGCTCCGTCACAATTACACTGTTGCAAGATGGCCAAAAGAAATGCAGCCTATGTCAGAAAACGATTTCTCCTGTCAGGTGGCAATTGTCAATTTGCTCTCGTCACAAAATGTCTTCAACGCTGCCAAGCCTTCAATTAATACTGCTGTTTAAAATTATGATGAATTACTCAGTAAAACTGAATAGTGATGTAGGGAAGGGAAAGCGCTCTAATCATTTTCTTTCTCAAGCAGAGAATCGCTTTGGGAATACTAATAAAAGAGGACAATGTCTCACCAATTAGCTAGCATGCAATAACCAAACGGCGGTCATTAAATTAATTCAAGATAGAAGTTAAAGACATGATGTTATCACCAGATAATCATCTTTCAAAATGAAGCCTTTAAACCCCCGAAAAAGGAAAACAATTTGTTCGGTTGCAGCATCCTCACTGACCAGGATGGATGGTCAAGTACATGGAACACAAGATATTGTGCCTGCTTCTGGACTATTTTGGTTGAAGTAACAAAGACCGCTACTTGTCTCCGTAACCCTTTTATGCCTGCTTAATTGCGGATCTAAAAATAAGCAGCGCAGTGTTAGTCATAAGAGTAAAATCATCCATAAAGCAGCTAATCCAGGCTGACAAGCCCGTGGTTAAAATGTAAACAATCATCGAGTGACAGTTGTCTCATTAACACATTTTAGAAGCACGACTCGAGCCGTGAGTAGTCAATTTTTTTTTTATATCTTTTGCAGATGACAATCTCCACAAATTTTCTTTTACAATGAGGTCTTATTATTAGATGACCTACTATTAAGTTTTCCATCATGCTTTTTTTTTTTTTTTTTAAAGCTTTAGCCCTCATACTCTAGTCACCCCATCATATTAAAAAAAGAAATCATTCATTTGTGGCTTCCAAGATACGCATCTTTCCCACGCTTGATTAGCTCCTTATCATAGCTAATTAATGCATGGCCATGAGATAAGAATGTCGAAAGAAAGACGCACGCGCGCACACAATAGTCGACTTCGTGTCTCCCAGCGCCAGTTGGAGGTAGCTTCTAAAGGATGTGCCTTTGACTAGATGTCCTTGTACGACGGTGGGAAAATAAATGGCCGATTCATTTTAAATGAATGAATGAGGGAAAGCTTTCAGAATGTTCTGATCTCCTGTTTCATTGCCAGTGTCCTAATGAGCAGACTTATGTAGGCGATTATGGAGGACTGGATAAATGCGCTCAGACTGTAGTTGTGGTGTATTTCCCTTTCCCGCCATTGCTTTATACGCGATTCATCAGCTGTCAATTCCTAACGATCCATTTATCGAATGTTACATTCATTCCTGGTTGCTAAATCCTTTATGAAAAGTATGTGAGCTACATTGAAAACAAAAATATTTGAACTATGAGAAAAACCTCTTTTTTTTTACCCTTTGGAAAAGTGGTCGTATTAGAAACGAATCCACTTTGTTAAATTTAATTTTTTAAATATGTGAGTTCAATTTTCACAAGATTCCATTCCTTTTATTCTTGTAAGGTTATGTAATCCCCAAAAGTCTAATTTAATTCTTAGAGGATTCTTAGAAGATTGCATATCTTGTAAAAAAAAAAAAATATATATATATATATATATATAGATATATATCTATATATATATATATATATAGAATGTAGGCCGAGCCACTCTTTTCGAGTGGATGATAGTTGCTGCCAATGTGTTCAGCGTATTCCATTTGCTCAAAAGTCAACAGTGCGCCTTATAATCCGACGCACCTTATATACGGATAAATTCGGATTTCTTGGAAGTCGTGTTTTAAATGTTCTGTACAGCGCTATACATCTATATATATATAGATATAGATATAGATATATAGATATATATATATAGATATAGATATATATATATTGCTGAAAAAAATAAACATAATTCTTGTAACGTTCCAAATGCAACTTGAAGACATTTAATGCCAGTGGTTTTTCTCATACAGCCATTTGTGACCATTTGACTACTTTTTGAAGGCCAACAGAAAATCGATTTCTGTAGCTACATCAGCATGGAGCCTACCAAAAGAAAGCTTTACACACACTATATGTGATTATATTTTTCTCCTTGAGAGACCGAGAATCCAGTATCGCATTATAGGAGGATATACTGTGCGTAGTGTACTACACGACAATATATCCTACTCGCCTACGTCTGTGAAGGCTCTGAGAAGAAGCTCAACAACCTGGCTTTTTATTCCATACTTTTCCCGCGATGAATGTTGAGATTGCCATTAATTTGTCATTGTGACTACATCGACTGTAATTCAAGTCATTTTCTTGTTGGAGCTTTCATTTCTGAGCCTTGATGTTGTTCTCCCGTTCTATGAAAGTACCGTAGTCAATAGAGCATCACCTTGATGAGACATGACAGATCCGACTGGCCTTTTCCAAATGTTCCGACCACTCGAAGCACATCGCACGTATAATCCCATTCACGCGCGTCAGAAGAATTTAATTGGCTTACTTCTGAACCGATCGAACCCGGTAGCTTCCAGGCTTTCCTTAATTCTTTACAAATACTCACCTGACCCAAATGCCCAAAGCGCAGATACAGTTTATTTTGTCATCGTGTCGTTGGATGTTGTCAAGCTAAATATGTCCACTCTATCGTCGCGAAAAATCAATTGAGAAAAACCTTTCAGAAATTTGAAATAGATTCGTTAAACGGAGCAGTCAGGTGGCTAACTGAATCATGTTACGAAGCTTAAGGTCCACCGTGTGCTCATTAAATGCTAACGTTAGCCAAAAATGTCCACCCGGTCAGCAAGCGCTCATATTTTGCTGTTTGCAATGTCCGCTTTACCTTGTTTGCTTGCAGTTGCTCTACGAAAAAGTGTGCAAGGCTGCCCCATACGCATTTGTACAATGACGATGAAGATAACCCGAAAATCTCTTGGGAGAAACCTTTAGGGGGTGAAATGGAAGTCTCAAAGGCACCTTATGATGATATTAACTTCTAAATCACATCCTTTGTTGCACCAGGACTTAACGTTGCCATCACACGCCTTCTGTTTGCCAAACCAAACGCAGCTGATTATGCTGCTCAAAAGCAAATTTTAATCAAAGGGATTTGTATGTGTCCCGAAACGTATATTTGATGCTGATTAAAAAAAAAAAAAAAAAGTCATTATTCTAGCACATAAGCTTTTTGAGGTATATTCATTTTTCTATTTAAGTTTAACCGACAAAAGTTACAATTTTAGCATGTGTTGTAATTCATGGCTATGAAAATCCAAACCCCTTAATTTATAAATATTACTTTATTATTTTGATTAAAACCTGATGTGCTAGAGCAATGGTGAGAGAGGACTTAGAATCGGCGCCAACAAATATAAATAAATACATTCAAAATTTACTTTGTGTCACTTCCTAAAAATTCAGTAAGCAGTGTGCTGGAGTGTGATTGGACAAGTAACCAGATTGCGCCTTTTTTTTTTTTTTTAAATATATAAATTTGAAGTCAATCCTTGGCGAACTGTACTGAACGCTTTTCCCATTAACTTGTAAAGTCATCGTTTTTATTTCCCCTCATGTATCGGAACCCATTAGCTTGTGCTGGCGGTGTGTGTGTGTGTGTGTGTGTGTGTGTGTGTGTGTGTGTGTGTGTGTGTGTGTGTGCGTGCGTGCGTGCGTGCGTGCGTGCGTGCGTGCGTGCGTGCGTGTGTGTGTGTGTGTGGGTATATGTCACATTTGTACATGTGTGTATATGTCACATTTGTACACACATGACATCCCACGCGTTTGTCCACGTGCACATCTCCCGACCCTGAAGCACTCATGTCGCACATGACCTCTCGCATGTAAACATGCCTCAAAGGCAAAAAGGTCTCTTGACCCGCAGGCACATGTAGCGATGACGTGCGAAAGCTGCAAAAGTCAATCAGGAAATATTTGTTTCCCCGTTTAAAGCCATGAAATGTCCAGTGAATTAACGAACAAGCCGGTTTGATGTGCGGCCACTTATCAGTGAGCACATCACGGTCTGTCACATGTGAAGTGGCGGTGATTTGTGGTAACGCCTTTGGTGCTAAGCACTCCGTCCTTGTCCTGTAAGACGCCTTTGTCGGGGATAATATGATGGCCACTTTCCCGGAGGGATAACATCATCTATTAAGATCATTAACATTGTACAAACCTTTGAAAGGGGAACAAACGTTTACCCCCATTAAACAGCCCGACCTTGTACTTGATTGCGGGCTTTAAAAAGAAACACTCCGCGCACGCAATTTGGGAGGGAAAAACATGGCCGCCCTTCATGTCGAACTTTTTAACTCAGAGGGGTGGTGGGGGGGAGGGGAGGGGGATGTTTTCATCAAATGTCTGGTAAATACAACGATAAATCACTGGTCTGGAGTCGAAATGAAAGCATGAGCGCTCCTCGGCTTTTCCCAGTCTGACTCTTCATGAAACATTCCAGTCATACTTTTGATATTGATCTGAGACAAGCGAGCCTTGTCACTGTAGCCTTGGGGGTGGGGATTTTCATTTTGATCACAAGTTGACCTGCGCAGACAGATGAAAATGTCGTCCTATTGATGTTTTGTCTGGAAGAGGCTGCGCGCCTTCAAGAAACAAACAACATGGGGTAAATGTTTGTTTGTTTGTTTTTCCTCCTGCCCTCCTCTTCCAGTGGTGACATTTACATTACTTTTAAGCTTCATGTGGCGGATGCATATCTTGGTAACCATGCATTCATTGCAGATGCTTTGAGAGCAATTTGGTCCAGTGTAGTTTCCCCGTGTAAAGATTCGCCAACAGAAGGTGCAGCTGGTTTTCTTGCATATTAGTGTCGCATTTATTTATAATTCACGACACTAATGGCTATTATCTGTCACGTATTTGCGAAGTTGAAGCTGAAGGAAATGGTGGCAACCAAGACATGGTCAGAAGTGAAACTCGTTAAAAA